GGCATAAGCTGCAGCCCCTGCGGCAGTGGGTTGCCATGGGCTACTGTGTGTAGCCAGCAGCCAGCGTGAGTGGCAGTCCAGAGGCCGGCAACTGATCTGCCTCGCCCGGGAAGAGCACAATGATGGTGCCAACTTGGGCCAGTGAAGCGACATCCTCCACAACTAGACTGAAGAACAAAAAGACAGCAACTTGTCTGTTCCCCTTCCCCCAATTCCCCAGCACTGTTCCCATCCCCCCAATTCCCCAATTAAAAAAAAAATCGTGTACCCTTTAGCTGTAACCCCTTTCCGCCTGGCTCCCCTGCCCTCAGCAACCACTAATCTGCTTTCTGTCTCTATGGCGATGTTTCCTGTAAATGGAATCATAAAATACATGGACTCTTGTGACTGGTTTATTTTGCTCGGCTTAGCGTTTTCAGCATTCACCCAGGTTGTGGCATGTGTCAGCACTTCATGCCTTTTTATCGCTGAAAAATATTCCCCTGTAGAGATACACCACACTGTGTTACCCAGCCATCAATGGACACTTGAGGTGTCCCCCTCCAGGAGCTACTGTGATGGATGCTGCTGTGGACACTCATGTACCAGTTTTTGTTTGAACACCTGTTTTCCATTTTGGGGGAGGGGGGGTACAGACCTAGAAGTGGAATTGCTCAGACGGCGATTCTGTGTAAACCTCCAAGCTGTGAGCAGCTGCATCATTTTACGTTTCTACTGTTCCCCACATCCTGGCCCAAGGCTGGTTATTTTCCGTTGTTTTTGTTTTGTTTTGTTTTGAGTTTCTAGCCACTCTAGTGGGTGTGAAGTGATAGTACAGTGTGGTTTTATTTGTATTTCCTTGGTGACTAATGATGTTGAGCATTTTGTGTGTGTGTGTGTGTGTGTGTGCGCGCACGCGCGCGCGCGCGCGCACGCGCGCACTCATTGGCCATTTGTATATCTTTGGAGAAATGCTTATTTAAGATTTTTTGCTCATTTAAAAATTGATTCCCTTCCTCCCAGACATGGGACTTCGGCCACCATAGCATCCCGAGGGGTCGTTGGCATTTTTCTCCTCTGCTGTCCCCCTCATGTGTCGGAGTTCCATCGTGGGATCCTGGATCTAGGAATTAAAGGCACAATTTTGCTGTGTGGTCGGATCGTCTTAGTGCTTGCTCTTCTTACTTTATTTCTGCGACTACCTCATGGCTTAACTCATTTAAATCTTGCCAAGATTATCTGAAAGAAGACAAGAAGGAGAAAAGGCAAAAACTTAGGAGAAAGAAACAAAAGACACAGGGTGAAAGGCCAGCAGATACAGAGAGAATGTTGAAAACCTCACCAAGAAATAAAAAACAGAACAACCGAAAAAGCGCTTTTATCAGATGGTAGGTGAAACCCAGAAGCCAGCAATGGCCATAAACTTGGGGGTGAGGAAGGTTTACTTGGTGCTTGAAAATGAGATTCAGACATCGTCTGAAACAGCAGACGGAGAAACAGCAGAGACGGGACTCGTCCAAGCCTTGACCCAAAGTTTCACAACCTGCTGAACAGCCCTCTCAGGTGGGGTGCTGGGCGGTCCTTGACTTACCTGTGGAACCTCTGAAATAGCTAAAGAAGTAGTCGCTGTTGCTCTCCGATGTCCAAGCGGGAATGTCCTGAGGGGAAGTTGTTTCCGTCATGCCATTCACAGGTCTTCCTTGACTGGATGATGAAAACTAGGTACCACACATCCCTATATCACAGCCTTTTTACTTCCTTCCCCAAAAGGTGCCTGGAAGTTAAGCGAGGCAGGTCACTGCAGGCCAAAGGACTAAGGGTGGACCCTGTACTCCGTGTGGAAGAGAAAAAACAGAGTGACTAGTTCAGAAAGGAGAACTGCCTGTTCTACCTAAGATGGGTTATGCCACAACCTTACAGGACAACAAAGAATTAGCATCAGAGTCATGCTGTATCTTCACTGAGCTCAAAGCAGTTAACACTTTAACGTTGATGCCCACGGGAATAGATAAGACACAAAGGCTTAGAAATGGCTTGCTGTCTGCATATAATAATTTATGGAGTGTGCCAAATGAGAACTAGGTGAAAATGTATACCATAAGGCATACGGTTTATATGTTATATTTTTCCTGGCTTATGTCATTTATTAGTATGTTGGGACACAAGGTCATGACTTTGGTTTCTGCTTCTTCAATCCATTTTACCACACTGCGTCTTTCACAGTTCAAAACCTTACAAAGTCTTACCCTGCTATATTTCTAGAAATTAAAAACTTTCAAGAAGTTTCAAAGCTCTTTAAAGTTTTAAAGCTTCTTTAAAGCTTTCAAGTTCTTTTTGATAGGTATTCGTGTTTAAGACTTGTATTTTGCCTTGCATTAAATTGTAACATTTACACCCGTTCCAGGTGGACCGATCTTTTTAAATATGAAACAGTGAAACATGAAACAATTTCGGTTAGGGGGTCGGCCAAGTGGCACGATGGTTAAGAACTCGCTTGGGATGCCAGAGGGCCCCGGTTCGGATCCCACATATGAGGGCCAGTGACACTGCCCTCTACAGCTAAGATGCTGAACAACAGCTCGACCTGGAGCTGGGCTGCCGTGAGTTGTTGGCGACGGCGTAGGCTGCAGCCTCTGTGGCAGTGGGTTGCCATGGGCTACTGTGTGTAGCCAGCAGCCAGCGTGAGCGGCCAGCAGCCGCAGTGAGTGGCCGTCCAGAAGCCGGCGACTGATCTGCCTCGCCCAGGAAGAGCGCAATGATGGTACCAACTTGGGCCAGTGAAGCAACGTCCTCCACAACTAGACTGAAGAACAAAATGACAGCAACTTGTCTGTTCCCCTTTCCCCAATTCCCCAATAAAAAAAACAAAAAACAAACAAACAAACAAAAAAACAATTTCGGTTAGGCTGTCCAGAGGTGGGCGGCCCATCTGCCTCACCTGGGAAGAGTGCAATGATAATACCAACATGGGCCAGTGAAGCTACGTCCTCCACAACTAGACTGAAGAACAAAAGGACAGCAACTTGTCTGTTCTCCTTCCCCCATTCCCCAACGCTGTTCCCCTCCCCCAATTCTCCAATAAAATCTTTAAAAAACAAAAAACAAAAAACAAATTTGGTTATCTGTTTTCTTGTTGACTTGTACCAGCTCTGTAGTCCCCTCACTGTTCTCGCATCTGCGTTTTCTTTCCAGTTGTGTGGGCTTCCCAGAGAATGGCTCGCCTGAATCCTGCCCACCAGCTTCTGCAAATGAAAGCCTCCCCAAAGCATCTCTCCTTCCAACGCCCTGAGAAGATGTAGCCTCGGATACTGCGAAGTTGATTTAAACCCTACTTTGTGTGTGCTCCAGCTCAGCGTTTTCCTGCAGGCTCGTGATGGCTTGGGGATGGGAGTAGTTAATTAGGCTCTGGCCTGATTTATGGAGAGTGGCACTGACTCAGAGATGACAGCTGGAGAAGCACTTTCCAAGATCAGCATCCCACGCGTGGGCCTGAGGTGATGATTGCCACATCCCAGGGACCCGCCCCTCCTCCTGGGTTCGGAGCCTAACCCTGCCTGCACGCACAGCCCAGCGTGGTAGGTGGCTGGGGAGCAGTGTGCTCTCTGCCGGCTTCAGTCCTTGGGGCGTGGGGGCCGCGTCTGAAAGGGAACCCAGCATTCCTTGTGCCAGCCGTTTAATCCTTGGGACATCTGAAAGAGAAGTCAGCGCTTCTTAACTCAGTCTTTTCGAGGCTTATCTGATGCACGCCTCTGCCTGGGGCGCTAGCGTCCACAGTTTATCTCTCCAGGGCGAGTATGAACTTGAACCCTTGTAATGATCGGCTTTCATTCCCCCCACGCCTGGGAAATTTGTGTATCATGTGTGATTATGATAGGAAGAGGGGGGGGATGATGATAGATTCACGTCTGGACACTTGGGGTGCTTCTTCATTTACAACAGAGTTTCTCAACCTTTTTTTTTATTATGGTCCCCACCTGAGTATTTTTAGACGTTTTCCCCTCCCTAATCGCCCATCTCCTATGAAATTCTAAGACCACTGATGTATCTGCTCATGTACCACAGGTATATCTGTACTTTATACATAAAAAGAATAAGATTTTTAGCCCTCTTGAGGGAAGATGCGGTTCCTACCGAGGATACAGGCTTTACCTAGCTCACACCTGGCCGCCCTGGCAGGCTCCGCCCACAGAACAGCAGGAAGAAGGCGACCGGGCAGGTGCTGGGATGGGTGTGTGAGCTCGGGCTTCTCGGGCGCTCAGCAAAGCGCCGGGGGCGCACGGAGAGTGCTCGGGAAGCAGCCCTTGTTGTTGCTGTTCATCATTGCTGTTATTTTAAGCTTGGTCACAGCATTGTTTGTAACCCTCTCGCAGGCGGTGGCTTCCCGCTGTCCCTGAGGGCTGCTCAGAGGAGGAAGTCGTGGCCGAGGCCCTGGGGCTCCTAAGGGCGTGGATCGGGCTGGGTGGGGGCTGACCACCCACTGACTTAAATGTGGCAGCTGCTCCCCCGCAGCAGCGGGGACCTCCTGGTGTCAGACTTTTAACTTCTCTGGAGGCGCCGGGAGTCTGGGTTTTGGGTTCCGTCTCCTGATCTGTAAGCATTGGCTCCATTAAACAACAACGATAACGCTCCAGGGACCAAGCCGCAGAGATGGAGCAAGACACACTGGCTTGTCCGGAGTGAGTCACAGAGCTGGGTTTCCGTCCACGTCTCCAACTTCGCCCCTCACGACCCCACATCACCCCGGGCTGGGAGTCCATCAGCGCGTCTCCCTCCTGCCTGGGGAGGGGGACCCGGCTGGGGCCATTCCGCATGGGGCGTAATGCGGCCAGCGCGCCCCCATCTCACCCGACGCCCCTTTCTAGAAGGTCCTGCAGGGGGACAGCTCGGGACCTCCAGCCTGACTCGCGGCCGGGCGCCGGGAGAGCCCCGGGCCTGCGGGCTGGGAGGGCGGGGCCGCAGCAGAGGAGGAGGCTGCGGGCGCCTGGGCCGCGCGTGGGAACGCGGACGGTGGGGGGCGCGCGGCGGGCGGGGCCCGGCCTCCCCCAGCCTCTGTCCGCGCCAACCTCTGGACCTGGGGATGAAACAGCCCATTGTTCGCGCAGTCCTCTGGCCCCGCCACCCTGGGCGTTGCTTTCTGTTCGCCTGGGTCACGGGTGGGAGGTGAAGAACGCCGGGGTTCAGGAGCCTGGCTCCCCGCCAGGCCTGTGGCCTTCGGCCCCGGGGGCCACCGTGCGGCCGCGCCTGGGCGGGAACACAGATCGCGGGTGTCAGGCTGCAGCGCTGTCATGGGTTCCAGCAGCTCGGTCGCGGCGGGGATCCCGGACGTAGAGAAAATTCGGCGGGAGACGGGCTGTGAGTGGGGCGCCGGGGGCTGGATGCCAGGGGCTAGCGCAGGGTCTCCAGTGGGGTCCCAAGGAGGGGCGGGGTGGAGGGCTGCGGGGACCTAGGAGATCCGAGCGGAGATTGCAGGGCCAGGGGCGCAGAACCCCAGCTCCCCAAACCCCGTCCAGGTTTGAGGCGACGCTGGGTTCTCAGGCTTGGGGGCACCCAGGCGTCCTCGAGCCCGGCTGGAGGGGGTTGGCCTTGGTCCCCTGGTCTCCCGCGGGGAGCGCAGGGGCGCGGGGAGCCTCCCCGTGTCTCGTCACGCCCCCTTCAACCTCCAGCCCCCTCCCCGGCCTCCCGGGCGTCACGCCTCCGCCTTCCTCCCTGCAGTCTCGCACGCCAGCCTGGTCCGCCTCTACCACCGGTTTCGGGCTCTGGACAAAAACAAGAAAGGCTACCTGAGGTGAGGGGAGCTGACCCGTGATCTCCCCCTCTGTCCGTCTGTCTGTCTGTCTGGGCGCATTTCGTGCTACCCGCTTTGAACTTCCTTTGCAGCCGCGCGGATCTGCAGGAGATCGGGGCGCTGGCCGTGAACCCCCTGGGGGACCGCATTATAGACACCTTCTTCCCTGATGGGTGAGGCCCCTCTGGGGGCGGGGAGACAGAGGGAGAAGCTTGTGGGGGGGGTTGGGGGAGGTGAGGGACACAGGCAAAGGAGGGCCAAGGCGACCGCTGCCTCCGCGCCACCCCACGCCCCCCACCCCCGCCCCCAGGAGTCTGCAGTTGGAGTTCCCGGGCTTTGTCCGAGTCCTGGCTCATTTCCGACCTGTAAATGAAGAGGACACCAGGACACGGGACCCCAAGGAACCCGAACCCCTCAACAGCAGAATGAACAAACTCCGCTGTGAGTTGGTGGGATCCCCCCAAGTGAGACCCCAGATTTCCCACACCAGTGAGAGGCCCCAGGCACTTCCCACTCCGTGTGAGCCCATGGATACCCCCCCCCCACACACACACACACAGGGTGACCCAGACCATTCCCCTCTTCTCTCTTCCCAGTCGCCTTTCAGCTCTATGACCAGGACCGAGATGGGAAGATCTCCCAGCCGGAGATGCTACAGGTCCGGAGACCCAGGGCCGACCCGTGACCTGCAGGGTGGGGTGGTTGAATGCAGTGGTTGTGGGGGACGGGGTGCGTGATTGGCACGTGGGGTGCAGCTGATTGGGGTGTTGGGTGAGCAAAGGGAATGAATGGATGGGGTTGGAGTGTGGCTTAGTTGGGAGGCAGGGTGGGCAACAGTTACATCTGAGGTTGCAAATAGATGAGTATAATAGTTCTCCACTGGAGGCCACTAGTTTTGCCCCCCAAAATGACATGGGCAATATCTGGAGACATTTTTGGTTGTCACAACTGTCAGGATGGTAGCAGTGCACCTGGCACCTAGTGGGTGGAGGTCAGGAATGTGGCTAAACACCCCCCACTGCACAGGACAGCCCCGTTCCCCCCACAACAAGGCACTCTCTGGCCCCCAATGTCAATGGTGCTGAGACTGAGCACCTCTGGCGTTGTAGTGATGAAGTCGGGGATGGGCTTGGGAGGGGTTGGACAATGAGGTGGGGGATGGGGTGGAGGATGGATGGGGGTTGGGTTCCAAGGTTGGGGTTGAGTCGTGAGGCGTATTGCTAGGGTGAGTGTGGGATAGTGAGGGACAGATGGAGGGTTGGATGGAGAGTTATTTTTTATTTTTTTAAGATTTTTTTGGGGGCGGAATTGGGGGAGGGGAACAGCGTTGGGGAATCGGAGAAGGGGAACAGACAAGTTGCTGTCCTTTTGTTCTTCAGTCTAGTTGTGGAGGACGTCGCTTCACTGGCCCATGCTGGTATTATCATTGCACTCTTCCCCGGGTGAGGCAGTTGCTCGCCGGCCATTGGACGGCCGCTCACGGCGGCTCACGGCAGCTCACACCAGCTGCCGGCCACTCATGCTGGCTGCCAGCCACTCACAGGGTAGCTTCACAGCGGCTTGCTACAGCCCCACTGCAGCCTATGCTGTAGCCTGCCACTCACGGCAGCCCAGCTCCAGGTCGAGCTGTTGTTCACCATCTTAGCTGTAGAGGGCAGTGTCACTGGCCCTCATGTGGGACCCAAACTGGGGCCCTGCTGCTCAGAGCTGGTGTCCCAAGCCAACTCTTAACCAACGCGCCACTCAGCTGACCCAATGGGAGAGTTATTGGTGGATGTAGTGAAAAGTGATCAGAATGGGGTGAACAATGGGGTGATCAGGGATGGATTATGAAATGGGTAGCAACTTTTGGGGTGATGTGGGCAAGGATTGGGGGATGGTGCTAACGGTCCCTCCTCCTCCACCTCCCAGGTCCTCCGGCTGATGGTCGGGGTACAGGTGACAGAAGAGCAGTTGGAGAGCATCGCCGACCGCACCGTGCAGGAGGCCGATGAAGATGGGGATGGGGCTGTGTCTTTCCAGGAGTTCACCAAGGTCAGAGTGCCCTTGGGGCACGGGGAGCTAAGAGCAGGAGTTCCTAGCACAGATGGGCATGGGTCACAAAGCTCGAAGGAGGAGGGCAGAAAGAGAGGGTGTCCCGGAGCATGGTGGGGCCTTGGGGGTGGGAGGGGAGGTTGGGAGCATAGAGGGTTGGAATTCAAACCCTCTTAACTCCCACATGTTCCCCCCAGTGCTTGGAGAAGATGAACATCGAGCAGAAAATGAGCATCCGAATCCTGAAGTGACCTTATTTCTGCCTGGGATCCCCCTCAGTCCCCCGGAGGCGGCCCCAGCAAGCTGCATCTTTGCTTCTGCGCTGAACTCTCTCTAGGTCCAAGGAGAGAAAGCTGGACAGCTGGGTGCAAAGTCTAATTCACATGATCTCAGATCTGCGACTCGGCCAACCATCTTTGGGTGGCAAGTGACTGAACCTCCAAATCAAAGAGACTTCAGTTCCAAAGGGTTTTTATGGGCTTGTGTAATTAGAGTCCGGAAGTGTCTTCGGAATACTGGGAAAACCTGGAAGTGTCTTCAGGCACAGCTGGATCTGCAGGCTCAGATGATGCTCTCTGGACTCAGTTATTCTCTCTCTGCTGTCTCAAGTCAGATTCCCTCTGTGGTGGCTTCACTCTCAGGGTGGCTCTTTGCTCGTGCAGGAGGATGGCCTCCTGCAGCTCCAGGCTTTCATCTTACTGAGCGAGTCATCCAGTGGGAACAGACTTCCTTTTTCCGTCATTTCAGGCAAAGGGTGTCATTTGCTCAACTGGGGGTTTGTCCCTTCTCCAGGGGGAACGAAATGTTCTAATTGCTATGTGTTCGTGTGCTAACTGCTAGAGCTAGGGAATAGGGTCTGAAGCCTCAAGATGGGGTAAGGGATGGGTGCTTAAAGGACAATGAGGTGCTATTATCAGAAGAGGGGGCAACCATGCCAGGCTGAGGAAACAGGGCTATCTATTACTGTTAAGTAATTACTGTTAGCATTACTGTTGAGGTGGATGTTTGAAGTCTGGCTTCTTAAATGGGTTTTCACTGATCCCATGGGTGCGTGCCCGGGTAAGGGGGTGTGGGAGGGGAGAGGGGATGGAAAAATAGCCAACAAGACACAGCTTCCTAGAGGATGATGTGATTCAAAGGTTTGCAGAGTCATTCCTTTTTTTTTTTTTAATGGTAAGATGCTCAAACGTCGACATCGCAGAGAGAGTATAAAAGTCATATAACATCATGAGATTCTAGGTCTGTAGCAAAGCCCTGTGGCTGTATGTATGGGAGATGCTGCTGGCATCCTGCCCACTTGCCCTCCCAGGGCTGAGCTGGAATTGTCTTGCGTCAACACGGGGCAGCCAGTTGGGCTCAGGCCTTCCTAACTCTACTTTCAGCGATGTCACACCTGCAGTTTGAACTTGGCTGTGGTGGGAATAGATGCATGACAGACATCGGCAAGCGCAATAGGCGGGATAGGGCTTCTCTGCCTGGGAGAACCTGGTGCCAAACTGTTATCAGCTCATCAGCTTCCTGGCACTCACCATCACCACTTATCCCACCCCCACCCCCACCATCACCACTTATCCCACCCCCACCCCCAGCTTCGCTGAAGTATAATTGGTATGCAAAAAACTGCGCATAACTAAGGTATACAATTGGATGAGTTTAGACATAATCAAGATAATAAACATATGCATAATCTACAAAAATTTCCTTGTATCCCTTTGTTGTTTAGGGTTTTTTGTGTGTGTGTCGCGGTGAGAACGCTTACCATGAGATCTGCCAGTTTCACAACATTTTAAGTGTACAACACGGTGTTATTGTTAACTCTGGTCCCTGTGTGGCATAGCAGAACTCTGGGACTTACTCATCTCTGTAACTGTAACTTTATCTCCACTGAGCAGCCGGCCCCCGCCCCGCCCCTCCCCAGGTCCCCACCGTTCTATTGCCTGCTTCCACACATGTGGCAGTTTTCAATGCCTCTTATCAGAGGAGTCGGCCACAGTTCTTTCTGGGACTGACTGACCTCACTTAGCACAGTGCTTCCAGGCCCATCCACGTGGTCACAAATGGTAGGATGTCCTTCTTTCTAAAGGCTGAATGCTATTCCGTTGTGTGTATATCTGCTGATGGACGTTAGCTTGTTCCCATGTCTGGGCCACTGTGAGTAACGCTGCAGTGAACACGGGGGTGCAGAGAGCTCTGAGACGGGGATTTCTCCTCCATCGGATAGATGCCCAGTAGTGGGATCACTGGCTCACATGGTAGCTCTTAATGGCTTCATCCTACAAGCACAGGTGGTCCTCTGCCTTAGCCTGGCACAGGCGTGGGCTCAGCCTGTGGGAGATGCTTGAGAACAAGGGACTTGGTGACCCTCGGAGCAGCTTTGTCAATGACAAATGGAAACTGTGGCTCCGTACCCAGTTTCCTCACCCCTCCAGCGGGACAGTGTGGAGGCATGTTCCCTGCCTTCCCAAGCACGTCCAGCAAGCCGGGGCCCCACAGCCCATGGCGTTAACCTGCTGTGAAGGCGCCCTGTGCTGGCTTCTTTGGTCCTTGTCCACTCCTGTCAGTGCTTCCCGGAGCAGTTTGCTCTCAGGTCCTTGTTTCTAGGTGCTTTTGGAGAAGCCCACCCAGAGATGTCCCAGACGTTGCGGAATGCGGGCTCGCACCCTTCGTGGTCTTTGGGGAAGCACTGTGTCTGGGGACCCTATAGCTCCTGGCATTTGCTGATTTAGGGAGTCTGAGGTCATGTAAAGACTGTGCACCTTGGGGGCTCCGGGAACGTGGAATTGTCTGGGGTGGGGCATGGTAACCCAATTTTAAGTTTTGTGTTCTGATGGCAGTATGATTCCGACAGACGAGTTTCTTAGTTGAGGGGAAGAGGCAAAGAGGATACTTGATTTCTGGGGGGAAATTTGTGATTTTTGTCAGATGATTGCCCCATGAACAGACTTTACAACTGAGGAATGCTTAGTCTTTGGGTCTATTAATGGTAGGGGGGGTATAAAACTCACCAGGTGGCTATTTTTTTACAGGCACTGTGGGAGAAGATTTGTATAGAGAGAGAAATAGAAGAGAGAGAGAGAGAGAGAGAGAGAGAGAGAGAGAGAGAGAGAGAGAGAGAGAGAGAGATTTTTTATAACTGGTCTTTTTTCCCATTATAGTGTTTCTCAAATTTTGTGTTGATTGGTAAGCCTCATGATTAGAAAGTTCAGACCCTTTGGCCCCATTTGACAGCTTTGGAATCTGAGTCTCCAGGGAAACCTCTATCTTAAGTACGTGATTCTGATGTTGGCGGTCCAAGGACCAGACTTTTAGAAACACTCGCCTCAGCCATCCGGCCAGGCTCCTAGTGACAGCTGCCCATCAAAGGTTGTCCGGCGTCCACAAAGCACGGAGCACACCCCTGGCCCACAGGCTCTCAGGAGAGGACCCCCCCATCCACACCTGCCCACATCTGTGTCTGTGCCAGCGAGTGGTGGCTCTGGCCTAACAGGGTTTACTGGAGGGCCTGGGGGATCCCCATGACTCTGCTGGCTGTGTGGGGCAGGGGGGAGCAAACTACCCACACCCCCCTTTAGTATGAAGCCCCCTGATCCTGCCCACACTCGGGAGGTTGGAGACCTTTGTCACGCAGGAAGGAGGGCATCAGACTGGCTGCTATGGCATCGGCTGTCTGAACCTCACCCTCTGGGTAGCAAATGCCGAGTTGCCTGTGGATTTGTCCCAGGGAATGGGGGGCTTATGACACAGTGGGGAGCCTGTGTGCTGGGAGCAGCCGTTGTCCCATTCCGGGGGTTTGTTTCTTGCCCTCCTTGTTACCATGCAGGTCCTATGTATGATCTGTGCCACTATTTACTTCTTACTTGTCTAGGAATGGACTCGTTTAAAATCTAGGTGTTGAGCCTATACAGGCAACTGAATATCACCCCCATGCATTAGAAACCAGCGCCAGTCACCGTGAATAAAATAACTATACAAATACAATACATATTGTAAAAGACAAACCCGCCCCACACAGAGCTTCTTTTTGGTGATCTGAAGGATGGGAAAGGAATCAGGAAGGAGACTGTGGGGTTACACCCCCAAATCATCTTGTGTATAAGTGGTGAGTTTCCCAAACTTAGGGAATCACTGGCTGAGGGGAGCTGTGAGGAAGTGGTCCTGGGGGTGGGGGTGGGGGCTGCATCCTGCAGGGACCTTTCTGGAGACAGCCCGCTCCTCAGGCCGGCTGCCGGTCAGACTGGTTTTGGTAGAGGTCAGCCATCGAAACGGAGTCCATCACCAGGTCAGGTCCAGGGACAAGCCACAGGGGGTGAGGACAGGTGCTTTACTACGGAACTGGAAATGTTAAAAGCGACAGCCCTCGACTGACATTTGTCTCCAGGCCTGGTAGGACTGTGTGCTTCGAGACAGGGCCTGAGAGCTGGCCCACACTCAGGACGAAGGTGGCAGAGTCCTTAGCAGAGGGGCTGGAGGCAGTGCTGGGCCTGTGCCTGGCATCCTCACTCCGAGACTGGCCACCAGGGACATGGGGGAGGGGCACTGGAGCTGTCCCAGCTTGCTCCAACAGGGCTGCTGGGAAGGGCTTTCACTGACCTGGAATTTTCTGGAAGAAACTACCTACCTATCCCGAAGACGAGATGGGAGTTCCAGAAGCAACCCTTTTCTTTGCCAAGATGATTAAACCTGAGGCAGCACGTGTAAGGGAGCCCTGGGGGAGAAGCAAGTCTCTAAGTGGTGATGCTGGGTAGAGATAATGATACCTACCTTTGCCTCTTCCTAACTGATCACAAATAGCTCAGCACCCCGAACTTGACTCTCCAAGAAAAAATACAACAACTTTGGGTCGTCCTCAGCCCCACCCAGCCAATGCCAGTAAAACTCTCTTGATGTTTAAGAGGCCATGTACAGACTCGATTCTTGGGGTAGACCCACCCAGAGAATCAGCGTGGCTCCGTAGCAGTAACTTGAGTGTTAGAGATCTGTTAGGCCTGTGATTGAATCTGGGCCCTTTCATTACTCGCCGTTCAGCCTGGGTAAGTCACTTGGCCCTTCGATGCCTCAGCCTCTGTGACCCGTGAAGGAGACAGGTAGTAATAGCAGCTGGCTATTACTGGCAGAGGTGTTGTGTCCCGCCTTGGTCCTGGCTTCCCCTGCACCCCGCCCGCCGCTTTACTTCAGCTGAGGCCCCTGCTTTATCTGTGAAGTAGGACTCTGCTCTCTAATAGCCCGCATTCTTTCAGCCGTTAAACAGCTTCTGGGAGAATAAAAATTTATGGGTTCATATAACTGAAACACGAGTCCAAAGGTAGACCAGGCAAAATCCGAGTCCCCAGGGCTCAATGGTGTCGTCAGAAATGAGTCTTTTCATAACTCGACTCTGCTTTGCTTCTTTCTGTGCTGGTTTTATTCTCAAGCAGCAATCCCAAGCCTCGCTTCCCAATAGTCCTGCCAAGACTCCCAGAAGTAAACCTCAGCTGCTCACCAGAGCCATTCGGATATACCACTCTGATTAGCTTGACCTGATTATGTGCTCACCCCAGGACCTGGGGGGCGCAATCTCAGTTGAACTCAATGCAGTGTGTGTGTGTGTGTGTGTGTGTGTGTGTGTGTGTGTGTTTTGTGTGTGTACGCGAGCGCGTGCGCGCACGTGTAATTCTGGGCAGGCAAAACCAACACGTAACTACATACAAGTTATAGTTTGGTTTTGGCTACCAATAACAGGAGCACCAATGAACAATGGCTTAAACAATGAAGACACTTATCGCCCATGATAAGATGTTCTTGGTGGTAGGCAGCCCTTGAGCTGTTGACAAGCTCAACAATGGATCCAAGATCTTTCCCACCTTCCGTTCCTTAGTATATTGGCTTTTAATGGTTGACTCGTGGTTACAAGACGGTTGCTGTCGCTCCAGCCAACACACCCTCATAAGAATGGTGTCTAGAACAGGTGTCTTGAGTGGATGGCCAGGGCAGCTAAAGATCACTCCTTTAATGCCCCTGCACTTGGATCATTGAGGAAAATCTTTCCCTACCCTCCTCACAGACTACACTTCACTTGTCATTGGTCAGAACAAGAATACCCCTAGCTCTCAGGGAGGCTGGAAAAATGAATATCTGACATTTCAGACTTTATGGTGAATGCAAAAGGGGCCATATATGAAACTGGACAAGCTCACGGGGGGCCTGCACGTCAGGGCTGACAAACTCGGTGACCAGTAAGTAACCACACAGGATGGTATGATCACAAATTCACAACTGGGCAGGTCATGGTGGGTGGTCACGTCCCAGGCCTAAATCTTCCTTAGAAAGGTCAGTCTTTACCTTACGTAAGCCCTACCCACTGTTCTTATGCCTCTAGGATAACAGACCTTTGAAATGTCAGAGTCGTTTTCTTTTCCAGACCCCTCGGAGGCACAGCCGCCAGCACCAAAGTATTAGACCACAGAACCCCTCATCGTTATCTTGTCCCCCGAATACCATCCCTGTGTGCCGTGTTAAAACTGTTTTGTACTCGTCAGTGTAAAGAAGTACGCATTTCTCCACGTTGCTCGTCATCCAGTCCTGGAGACGCCCTTGTTTTGCAGTCTTCCCGCCTCCTTAACCCACTACCCATGCATTTCATGTATTTTCCTTACATTGCCTCCTTTGATTCTACTGCATAAAAGGAACCGGAAACCTG